GGGGGGGGGGGGGGGCAGGTCTTCCGTAAGGGTGTGTGACGGAGACCAAGATCTGCGATCAGCCTTTGAGGAGAGAGCAGTCACTGCGTGGTGCTGCAAAGCAGTAGATATGGATACCTAACAACGTCATCGCCTCCGCGAAACTACAACAGCACACGCTATCGAGCTTTCTCGAGGGCACAATAACGAAGGACATGGGTTTGGCGTTTGGTGAGCACCAACCTACCAGTCCACTTCCTTCCGTACGTTGGAATCCGGACCAAGATTTTTTATTTCCTTGGTGGAGTAACAAACCATTTTGGGAGGGAGGCCGAGACTAAACTACCTAGGCACCTCTCTGTGTACAGCAGAAAACAATCAAGAACAAACGAAGCGCTTGTGCTCTACGTATGTTCGAGGCGGCAAACACGGACAAACGTGGCTACTTCAGGGCACTCACTCACTGGCAGGGTGCTGCTCCCTTTGTCCTGAAACATGCGAAGCTTTTTTACTACAACTACTATTTTGGGCACTCGCGCACTGGTAGGGTGCTGCTCTCTCTGTCTTGTTATCAATACAATGTGTTCTTGTTTATCACCTGCTGAATAGGGGTTTCGCTGTCCTTGGGGTTGAGGCAGTCCGTGGCGCCGAGCTGCTTGGCCAGTTCAAACTTGGACGGGTTTGTGTCTATCGCAAAAATCCTAGAAGCTTTTCTCGCCTTTGCCGCCTGCAACCANGGGGGGGGGGGGGGGGGGGGGGGGGGGGGGGGGGGGGGGGGGGGGGGGGGGGGGGGGGGGGGGGGGGTCGCCCGGTGAGGGATAATATCCTCCCCTTGCTTTCTGTTGGACGAAACATCATTTCCGGGCGACGGCGGCCCGTACAATGCCCGACCAAGCAGGTAACCATGTTGGGCAAAGCAGAAGCAGGAGGACGGAAGAAACATACGGCTTCGTCAGCCCTGGGGCCTACAGCACATGCCTGCGCCCTTCCTTTTTTCGGTCGCACTTGTTGCGAGTCAGTTGGACCAGTACAGAGGTTAAAAGGTACTTGGTAGAGACCGGAACGAGTTGCTGACGTGCAGACAACAAGATTTAACTTAACCTGTAGCGCGGCGAGTCCCACCGCCCCCAGACCGAAGACGGCTACGGTCGACCCTTCCTCCACGTCGCAGGTGTTCATCACGGCGCCGAAGCCAGTCGCGACGCCGCACCCGAACAGGCACACCTGTTGTCTCCGAGGAGGCAGGCACACATACACAGCAGTTGATGGCATTTACAAGTGTCTTTGTGTTTTCAAACGCACTGAGCCTGACGTCTTTTCATTGGTCAGCCGGTTAGCGCGGTCGATTCTATTAATAAAAAAAGACACACACAGACAACAACAGGAACAGAAAGACGGATACGTACAGGGTGGGGCGGGGGGGGGGGGCACGGTGTGGCGTGCAGTGACTGGGTGGAGAAGAAAACACAATCGGGGCGATGAAGCAGACAGAGCACAACAGACAGACTAGTGTGGCGTCTGGCCACGCGAAATGCAGTTTAGCAGCGCGTGATGGATGGCTCGCGAGCCGCGACGAAACACGCTAAGGGGCAACACCAACATCATACAGTACAACAAGCTGTGCGACGGGGATGTCGTGGAGCACATGTATAGCACAACAAAGTACACTTGTCGTGAACAACCGCACAGGAGACATGACGTGATTAACTACAGCCGTAACGTAGCAGCGATGCCATAGGCAAGTGCCTGCCGTGCATGTGTAGAGAGGTAGTCTTCACCCTCATCCGCAGAGGTGACATCAAGGGATGCAAAAGCTTGTGAACCGCGTGTGAGCGCCACGCCCCCAAGCGTGAGCACGGCATCGATCGCTCCTCAACATGGGTGCGTGCCTACTCCGTCCTGTCGCTCGAGAATTGTACCAAAACCAACCAGCAACAAACAAGGCACGTACGCAACTGTAGTATACCTTCTCTAGGTCTGCGTCATCGGAGATCTTGGCTGCTGAGATCTCGGAGATCACGGTGTACTCCGCCATCGTGGAGCACCCCCTGTCCCCGCATCAAGATTGAAAAAAAAATGGGACAAAGAAGACGAAACAGCGTGGAATCACGTATCGCAAGTCGAGCTGGTTGCGGGACGTCCCTCAACCCACCTCTCTCTGACTCTCTCTCTCCCCGCATCGTTCCTCCTGTGCCAAAGACAAAAAAGATCGGGCGAATGGTTGCGTGCGAAGATGCAGAGCACACGTCGAACTCCACACAAACAAAGGGACCAAAAACATCAACCATACATGTGGGAAGCAGCTGCAACATAAACGAAGGTGGTATGACCCCACAGCGTACACTACACACGAGCAAGGAACGGGTTGGCTCTCATGGAGCGCGTGCAAAGCGATGGATGATGGACCGGAAGACTCACATCGGGCCGCCGCAAAGAACCTCGATCGACGGGCGATGGGAGGCGAAGACTCAGCAGCGACGAAGCGACCAACTCACATGAAGTGGTAGATGGGCTTGCCGTCGATGGAGAAGCGAGTGGTCCCGTCGGGCATCACGCCCTTCCCCTGCGTCGCCCGGATGGTGGGGCAGAGGTTCGTCTTGGTGCTCTGGCAGAAGATGCACTCGGCCTGCTTGCACTCCGGCGTGTAGCAGGGGATTACCTGGCACAGATTTTTGGTATTGGCGAGCAACATCCACGTTGTTTTGTTGAGCAGCGGAACAGGAGTGAGCTAGCTGCAAGTGAGAAAATACACGCGGATGACGAGCACCCAATAAATGCTGAAAGCAAACGAAAAAGGGAAATGGACACAAGTGGGTATATATACCCACGCCATTCTCGGACAAAAGTGGGTACTCGAAAATCCAGCGCGCGCGCACTCCATAGGCGGCCCGGCCCCCAAACGACTCAAAACCCCATTTTGACGCCTGGGCGACACAGCCAGGGACCATGCACAGCACGGGCATCGAGTTTTTCCCACTTTCAGGCACACCTTCGGCCCTAATGCCGCCGGCGCGCGCAAGGCCTCAACAGAGTGCCCACTTCTGTCCGACATCGCAGTGGGTACACCCACCGGCGTCAACTAGTTGTTTCATGTACCCACTTTTGTCTATATTTTGACCCACTTATGTTCAAATTGTACCCACTTGTGTCCACATACGGATGGCGGAAATCGAGTGGAAATTGACCTCCACGTCACCGCACGGCAGAACATCGAATAGCCTCGGAACGTCTCAGAACCTCCCAACCCCGTATCCATGGTATCTTTCGTATCCATGACTGCCGACTGCGGACCGACCGCGGAGGAACATGTCAGACACATGCCAGGCCCCTCCGGTACCGGCACGGGAGGATATCAGGCACGGGAAGATGCCGGCAGTAAGCCCGGCAAGCAGCGCACTAAAAGCACACGCCACAAACAAATGCGTGACACACAACGGACAACAAAACCAACGGGTCGCGCACACAGAACAATAAGTCGCGCATAGAGCACACAACACTCACACACACGAAAGCATCATCCACCACCACGACGAGTGCACACCGACTCGTCACGGCAGCAGTAGGATGTCGAGGCAGTTTGCTTTGCAGGGCGCCCGCTCAGGGTCAAGCGGGGGTGCACCTCTGTCGACTGCTGGCGGCGCCACCGATGGCACCCCCGCGCAAGCACCGGGCAGCCGGATGTCGCTTTCCCGTTGACGATCGCTCCCGTGCAGCGGTGGAGCTTGCCCCGACCGCCACTAACCCGCTTGTCTAGCCGGCACTGCCTAAACTGTGCGATCATGCAGCGCTCGAATGCGTGTTTGAAGGCACGTGACGTCGCAAAAGTTGCCCCTTCAACCATGGCGCCGCCAGCAGTCGACAGAGGTGCACCCCCGCTTGACCCTGAGCGGGCGCCCTGCAAAGCAAACTGCCTCGACATCCTACTGCTGCCGTGACGAGTCGGTGTGCACTCGTCGTGGTGGTGGATGATGCTTTCGTGTGTGTGAGTGTTGTGTGCTCTATGCGCGACTTATTGTTCTGTGTGCGCGACCCGTTGGTTTTGTTGTCCGTTGTGTGTCACGCATTTGTTTGTGGCGTGTGCTGTTAGTGCGCTGCTTGCCGGGCTTACTGCCGGCATCTTCCCGTGCCTGATATCCTCCCGTGCCGGTACCGGAGGGGCCTGGCATGTGTCTGACATGTTCCTCCGCGGTCGGTCCGCAGTCGGCAGTCATGGATACGAAAGATACCATGGATACGGGGTTGGGAGGTTCTGAGACGTTCCGAGGCTATTCGATGTTCTGCCGTGCGGTGACGTGGAGGTCAATTTCCACTCGATTTCCGCCATCCGTATGTGGACACAAGTGGGTACAATTTGAACATAAGTGGGTCAAAATATAGACAAAAGTGGGTACATGAAACAACTAGTTGACGCCGGTGGGTGTACCCACTGCGATGTCGGACAGAAGTGGGCACTCTGTTGAGGCCTTGCGCGCGCCGGCGGCATTAGGGCCGAAGGTGTGCCTGAAAGTGGGAAAAACTCGATGCCCGTGCTGTGCATGGTCCCTGGCTGTGTCGCCCAGGTGTCAGAATGGGGTTTTGAGTCGTTTGGGGGCCGGGCCGCCTATGGAGTGCGCGCGCGCTGGATTTTCGAGTACCCACTTTTGTCCGAGAATGGCGTGGGTATAGATACCCACTTGTGTCCATTTCCCAACAAAAAGCAGTATTTAGCATATTGTAGTGCCAATATGAGAAGAGGAATAAACGCCACCACTGCATGACCACAAACTATGCGCTGCGGTTGTGAGCCACTTCGGGGGATGAATCTACGTATTGTCCACACAGGTAGCGTCGCGGGTACCGGGGCCTATGTTTAGTTCCAAGCAATTAAAAAAATATATCGCGGGGATGCGGAGCCAGCTTATCCGACATAGGTGAAACGGTCCGCGCACTCGCGCGCGAGGGAGAGGGGGGGGGATAGAAGGAAGTAGATTTCGATCGAAGATCGACAACACCAACTCCCATCTCTCCAGGGCTTCAAATGACTCTGCTCCTCCGAAGAAAGTGCCCTCGTTTTCGCAAGCTAGAAAATTGAGGCGTTTCCCCGTTCCCCTAGCGGTACAAGCCGGGATGGTCTCAAAACCATTTACTACAGTAGCGTGTACGGGTAAGACGTGATGCTGCAGAAAATACCGTCTGGTAACAATCGATTGGTCTGGGGGGGGGGAGGGCGTGGAGGCATACTACGAAGGCATACCTTACCTTGTCCCCGGGCTTGACCGACGTGACCCCTTCTCCGACGGACTCCACGATACAGCCCGCCTCGTGTCCGAGGATGGAGGGGAACATGCCCTCAGCGTCCTGCAAGAAAAAAAAAAAAAACACGCCCACACGTACGGGCAAGAAGCGAAGACGACAAAGCATGAAGGGGTGGACGAGGATACACAAGCCAAACGAATACAAAGAATCGGGACGGGGGCCGATTTCGTCCTCGGAGACGCATGTCGGGGAAGAGGCATGACCCTCTTCTTACTGCTGTAGAGGCCATCTCTGCACGAAAACACGTCAGCATCCAGCGTACAAGTTCACACATCGGGACGCTGCATCTTCGACGAAAACGCGAGCACAAAGACTATCGGTCGGTCTACCACCGCCGTTGCAGTGGCGTAGTCATCAGTCGTAACCCTGGACGTGGTTCTCTTTTGACGTCGGGCGCGGCAACAGACAGTCTTGAAAATACACCTCTGCAACGAAAATACGGGAGCAACTGCGACGTGCCCAGGGCCAAGATCCGCCACAATCGCAAAACACACCCACACGAAACGAGCTTATGCCTGCACCAAGGGGTGGGTCTGCTCAAACGGGCAACAATCGACCAAGCTCTGAAGACGATGGGAAGATAGTCACCTGTCCGGAGAGGGTGTAGACGTCCGTGTGGCACTGTCATCGCAGCACACCCCAGAAGAGCCATGCCAAAGGGACACAAATCCGAGTAGGGGGGGGGGGGAAGGGGAACCGTGAAACAACCAAGGCGGCCAATCTGAACACGACGGAAAAGAAACACATTTGGTGGGAGACGGACTACCAGCGGAGACACAGCTGTAAGTGAGTAAGGCGTACCTGCAGCACGCCCGGTCAAAAACATGCAATGGAGGTGTCGAGATAACACAAACATCGAATGTATCCACCAAGTTCAAGCATACGAGGAGATTGAACGAATGGTCCTTCGATCAACCCTTCCCCGGACCACACCACAAAGCCGACAAAGAAACAGTATTGGCATCAGCGGGTTCACGACCGTTGGTTTTAACTCCCAGAAAAAAACCTTCAAAGATGGTCGCCACTTGATGCTGATACTCGTCTCGCGTAAAACAACAGCACCAACGTGCGTCGACATGCGCACTCCACACCCCAGCAGCAGCAGCAGCAGCAGCAGCAGCAGCAGCAGCAGCAGCAGCAGCAGCATACTGGTAGTAGTCACAGTCGCGTACCAGGTCATGCCTTCTTTCAAAAAGTGTCACGTCCTACAAATTACATGTACATAGGTCTCTTACCTNGGGGGGGGGGGGGGGGGGGGGGGGGGGGGGGGGGGGGGGGGGGCAGCACAACTAGTCTTCTCACCAGGGCATTGGCGATAACCTTGACGCGGACCTCGCCCTTCTGAGGAGGGGCCACCTCGATCTCTTCCACCTTCAGAGGCTCGTTCGCGGCCCAAGCCACCGCCGCCTTGCATCTGATTTCCACGAAAGTTAGACAGAAAGAGATGAGAGAGAAGGCGCAGGCGGCGTGGGTGGAGCGAACAGTAGCCTTCGCAGGGTAATTGTACTTAATATGTACACACATCAGATAAAATTTTGCAATCGGGGAAATTGGGTTAGGGTTAGAGATAGATATAGGGTCTGCGTACCCCCTCGCGGTTCTATTTCTGCTTAAACTTAAGGGTTATTCGTTTCTTGCTCCTCAAATGTAGACTACACATTGGCCGGAAAGTGTTAGTACATTTCTGTGCATAGTCTCCGTACAACAATAACTAGACGTTTTTTTTCTGCGGTGTTTCTTGCCACATCTATCTGCATGTGTTGCAAGAAATAAACATGCAATCAAACAAAGACTACTGGTTCGAGAAAACACCAGGGGATGGGCTAGGTCTTCACAGCTACTTCGGGTTACTACAGTCCGTTGTGCGTCCTCGCTCTCTCTTGGAACAAATGAGCACAACTTTTCATACACACCTTCGTCTCAATATTCTCAAAACTCAACCCGCACACGCAGTTGACGTCGCCATACAGCCTAGACGAGCGTAGTGGCGACTGCGAAGCGGGCGTCGTCAAGCGCCCTTGCGTGACTTTACTACCGCGCAGCTGCAGAGGTCTACGTCGCTGTGGACTTATCTTTGCAAATACAAATGCTTGCTGCTGCCGTCTGGTCATTCTCACGCCTGTTCGCAAAGAAGATTGCTGGTCTGTCTTCGTGTCTTCGTCACATTTGTAGCGCGCAGTCCGCAGTCAGTCAACGAACGGCTGGCGGAAGATACGTAAATCTAGCGTACCGCTTAGTGAGATCCTATGGTGCCTACCAGGTGTCACCTAATCCTTGCTGCTTTCAGCAGTAGTATTCTAATGCGGTGAAAACCCACACAAGTCCACCCATCTTCGTCAACCTTTGTAGTGCGCAGTCCGCATTCAGTCAACGAACGGCTGGCGGAAGATACAAAAATCTAGCGTACCGCTGGGTGACATCCTATGGTACCTACCAGAAGTCACCTAATCCTTGCTGCTTTCAGCAGTAGTATTCTACTGCCGTGAAAAACCCACACAAGTCCACCCACGAACGGAGTGCGAACGCGAGCAGAGCAACGGGGAGTGTGAGAGAAAGAAAGGCGCATGTTGCACATACAGGAGTTATTTTACAACGCACCGCATCGTATAGTCGACCCCGCTTTAGGAACGCACATGGTTTTTCCCGAAAACAAGCGTCCTGAAAGCGGGGTTGCGTCCTTCAAATTCAGGGGACGATAGCTCCCCATCCCCGTGGCCAATGGAGGCATGCTATACCTCAAACTACGCGTCTTTTGCTAAGGAACGGTGTGGTACGAAAAGTCAGCATCGCCGAGACGACTGGCAACCGTTTGTTGACGTCGAACACATTTACAATACTTAAAAATGAGATGTACAGCAGCCGGGGACCTGTTCAAAACATCTGACTACAGTACAGAAGTTTATACTTTTCCAACCAATGTACAGTCGTCCCCGCTTTAAAGGCACCATTTCTTAAGACACTCCCCACTTTAAGGGCACAAAACATCTCAGAAACATGGTGCCCCGCAGATGTGAAAAAGTAGGAGGGGTAGAGTTTTCCACCATTCGACCCCCCCCAGAAAATGTGCTGCAGCACCTGTAGATCCTGGATCATCAACAGCGGTCTGCTGCAGCCGCACACTGCGTGTGAGTGTATGGAAAGATTCATTCCATCTGCTAGCGGTTCGTCTGCTGCCGGCTTGAAGCCATTGGGCGAACCGACGTGCCAGTTCAAATCTGCACTGGTGTCACTGGTTCATCAGTGTCCGTGCGGGCGACCCATGCACGCGTTTTGTGGTCGGGGCATCGGAGAGGAAGGCCATGGACAGCAGAGAGAGTGCTCGGATTGCCTTGGGTGAAGTCTCGAGAGGTTGAATTTGGCGCTTGTGTTGTGTTGTGCCTCGTTTTGACCTTTTGGGAGGCGCGGTGTCCTCTTTGTCGCTGTGCTTTCCCGACATTTTTGGTCTCTGTGTTTCGGCGTAACCTACATTTTCCTAGTGTCGTTTTACAACCTTCGATAATTCTCAGGTGCAGTAGCGAGATCTTGGGCAAGATATTCACGGGGAGGACAACGCCTAAAAATATAACAAAGCAAATAATTCAGCCCATATCAACACCAGCGCACTACCTTCGTGTGCATGTACGATGCGTAGGTCGTAGAACACCATCGCTTTCAGCCTTTTGGTGGTACAGTACGGGGGAATTCAAACGATGGTATGCAAGTATGTATTGCAGCACAATAGCAGCAGTGGTTGCGACCTTCAAATCACCTTGTGTCGCAAGTTTCAAACAACACCTCTTGTGGTCGCCTTTCTGCTGCGAATGCGCACCTTTTGACATATGTTTCGACTTCATTGGCCCCGGGGATGGTGCGTTAGTGGTCCCGGAATTTCAAAGACACTTCCCCGCATTCAAGACTTTTCTTTGGGAAAATGTGCTGTGTCTTTGAAGCGGGGTCGACTGTACTGCATAGCACAATTTACGAAATTTGCGGGTGAAAGCGAAATATAGCTACAAAGCTTTCGCGAGTACCAAACTTCGACGTTAGCACCGTTGACGAGGGAAAGGGACGGCTGGACCCTTCTCGCGATAAAAAAAAAAAATCAGCACGCACCGCAGGAGGAAGGTGGGGCATGAAAATAAATAGAAAGAAGAACAAAGCCCTGGGGTTTACCCCCTCCTGTGTGACCCTGGATGGTTGTAGTTGTACGAAAAAAAACACTGAAGAGTGTAGTACTCTACATACGGTGAAAAGTGTAGTCCACGTCTCACCACGAAAAATGGGGACTGTCGCCATAATAAGTAGGACGAAAACACAACACAAACACAAAGCCGGCAGCGCAAGGAGGAAAGTCCTAGACACATATTTATCTCAATTCTTGTGAAACAAAAAAAACAACGAGCGTATTTCAGCGTCGCACCGAGGAACACATATATTAATAGTAACTGTCCCGGCGCAGACCAAAAGCTACCCTTGGGCGACTTTTCCCTCCACATATCGCAAAGAGTTCCCTGAACCTCTCCCCGCGGCTCGGCTCTACGGCTCTGTTGAGCTTCTGGTCCCGCTGCTGTGGGATCTCTTGAAAATATGATACAACAGGGATCGATCCTGGTTGTTGAACATGCAAGACCCCGCACAGGAATACAGACCATTTTCTAGAGGGCAATCGTGTCCATTCCTTTGCGCGGGAGTATCTTGAGAAGACTGCGTCTACATCCTAATCCTTGCTGCGGCGTACAAGTCCGCTACACCCCGCAGCAGAGCTACGGATACGAGTGCCTGCTGCGCGAGGAGAAATCCTGACGGGGCTGCTATTGAGGGACGATTGCATCGATCGGGAGAGAGATCGGGCGGTTCTCGAAAAAAACACGACGACAATGATGTGAGCCAATGCAGTCACACAGGCAGCGTCTATCACCACTGCCAGGGCACACTCCCAACGGATGTCCTCCCCATCAGCAGCAACTCCCAAAGCAACACACGTGTCTGGAAGTGCAGTACAGAGTGCTGCCCTCCGGGCCACCCGACGCAAATACGTAATCCATGGTATGCATACGCATACGCTGAACAGCACAACAGGACTAAAAGTAGGTGCTGCTGGCGCTTACTTGATCGACTTTCCCATCGTTTCGGACATGGGCTGAGTGGGCGTGCCTGGGGATGCAGGGAGCGGGGGAAGGTATCGAGGACGGAGGCCGTAGCAGGGCGAGGTAAAGAAGGCGAAGAGGGATAGGGCACCCGGCAGCAATGACGCGGGTGAAAACATGAACTCATCTGTAGGCGGGTAGTTGTTGCGCCCTATTCCGCCACAAAGAAGAACACACCGAGACCCTGTTTGTGGGGTATGTGGATAATACTTTCTGCGTGCCCCCTCTCTCTCACATGAGCAACCCACATGCCCAAGCAAGTCGCACACATGATCCGATCGCGCAGCTGTCGGGTAGGCTAGCCTGGTTGTCGTCCTGCTTGGCGAGAAACTCTTTGTCCTAGTCATGTGTCCTCCCGCTCTAAGTGCGAGAGCCTTGCTGGGCCTGGTGCTCCTGCTCGTGCTCAGCGCTATTGCAAGCGGAGCGTTCTCTTCACCCAGCACAACACCATCAACACGGAGACGAGGAGTGCAACTTGCACCAGCAGCGGCAACGACAACAGCAGCTATGGTCCCTTCCTTCGCCACCAGCGCCAGGACCAGCAGAAGCGCGTCCTCCCAGAAGAACAGCGGAGGCTGGCGGGGCGGGGCTTGGTTGAGACATCCAGCTGGGAGCAGCGGAAGCAGATTGGATCGACGCCTCAGGAACCCGCGAGCTACTGCTGCTCACGGAGCGGGTACGCTGCGGTGAGACAAGGAAAGCGCTCGCTCGCGCGCGCGAGAGAGAAGAAGGTTGACCACATGCTGTGCTGCTGGATCCAAACGCAGGCGGGGTGGATCGTTTTTGCTGATAGGCAGGCTACCGGTTGATGTAGAGGAATCGCACTCAGACAAACGACTTGAAGCGAGCTAGTAGGACACACCAGAAATGTACATGTACCCTACCGAGTGTAGTTCACGATGCTACAAATGGTCTACGGGCAACTCGCCCAATATCTTGCGCGTCGTAGCGTTACAGTATTGTGCGGAGTGGAGCGGACGGAAGTTGTAGGATACGATCGGAAGAGCCGTGGCCGAGCGAGTGGCACAGAGCGAGGAGGCCTCCAGCTCTTCACTGCGCGCATTGTAGCGGTATATCCTGCGCCTTTATTTCAGAATAGAATACGCACACGTCACGCAGTGTTGCACGGCGTTAATTTTTTAGCTCATTGTCGTCGCAATGATATGTATCAGATAATGAAAGCCTGCGCATGTATTTCAGGTACAGCAGCAGTCTCCCCTCATGTGTTCGGCAGTAGATCAGTGCCGGGAAGCATCGCCCGCTTTTGTGGCCCTGATTTCCTGAGGGTTAGCACCACGGGCTCCAACGGGTACGCAATCAAGTCTCTCCAAGTGCTACGTAAAGCAGTTATACCAATATGCCACAACACGTACCAGCATGTTGCAGCGCAGGCCTGTATGAGACTCCGCCTCTGCTGTATTGTCCAGCCCGTGCGGCGAGGCTTTTCAGCTGGCACACGGCCAATTACGGTTCTCCAAGTTGAGAAACAACGCTGCTGCACAGCGACTCTCTACATAGGACCCATCTGACACGCGGCGGGCGCCCCGGCCGCGAGATGTCACGAGCCGCTGGTGTGTGGTTCGTTGCGCAGGTTGTATAAACGCAAGCTAGAAGGCAGAGCCCTGCTGTGTTTACTCAACCTGTTCGGGCCTGGCGATCCAGAATCATTGTAGCAGTCGGGGTTTTGTTGGCCTACTGGCGAGCGGATTCCACCCCTCACGGTATGCTTCATGGTTAACGCCGCTCCTGGACAACGAGGCGGGAGCGCCCGCTGCGGTTGTTTCTCCATCGTTCTCCCATTAAGCGGCGGGCAAGCTCGTGAGAGGGCACCCCGTGAAAATTGTCAAGCCGCCGCGAATCAACAGCAGGGAAAACATGGAGAACCAACTGCTGATGCTGCCTGCCCTGCGCATTAGCTACCTCCACCCCACGCGCAACCCCTACAAAAGCCTTCGACTACTGGCTGTACTTCTCGACCCCCCCACAGGTGCGTCTGCGCGCTGCCACCCCCTGGAATCTCTCCCCTGGTGTGGGACGCAGGCGTTTCTACGGTGGTTGGGGCGGCCAGCATCGTGTGGGTGAAGCTTTGGACTGGCCTCGCGCGACGAGATAAGATGAAGCCGCAGGTGTGTGCTTTTTGGTTTGCCGTGCACGTACCACGGTTGTGGTTACGTTTGGTATGCTGGTGTTGTGTGGTACGGACGGGCTTGTAGTAGTGTGAAACGGTGTGACGGGATGTGGTTATTGGGTAGGTGCGATCATTGAGGTGGTTTAAGATGAAACGGGTTGGGTTGGATTGGGTTGGTATGTAGTTGTGTGGTGGTGACACACCAATGAAATGCAATGGTGAAAACGTGTGGGCAACGGTCGACGCCCATGTTACACACGGTACTAGTGCAGGTCTAGGCTCGAGTTGGGGTTTGGCGTTACAACGGCAGTGTAGCTGGAGACTTGAGACTCTGATTTGTGTGCTTACGCTTTTATGAGGCAAAAAGTCGATTGACCACCACCATTGGTGGCAAATCCTACGAGTGTTGTAGCTGGGGACTTGTAAGACTCTGATTCTCTGATGTTTTGGTCTTACGCTTTTGATGCAAATAGTCGATTTGGCCACCACCATTGGTGGTAAATCGACGTTCTTCTCTGACCTTGACGTTCAAGAGAAGGGGCTTGGAGCATGCCAGATAACATAATAGTTTTGATATTCTGGTGAATCAAGCGCGTCCTTGTCTCACGCCCTTCTCTCTCACACACGAGAGGCGCCTCACTGCTATGTTTTCGCCGCGATTGTTTTGGCTTGCTCAAAGACAGGTGTCTCGTAAGGTTGTGCACACGACGGCGGCCCCGCTGTTCGTGATCTTGTGGCCTTTCTTCACGAACCGCCCCTGCGCGAGGCTGTTCGCTGCCGCGGTGAGGAGAGTAAGCAGTTGATGCATGACGTGCACGATTCTTCACCCTTTCGTTTGAAGTGGTAGTGCAAGAAGGCGGCACACATCATACGTGCATATTCGAACGTGCTGATGTTTAGCACCCCTTCAGCGTAGTTCGTTTGTGGGCGTAATATTAATGCCATGCGGTTTGTTCTCTTTCTCTGCCTCTCTTAGGTGCCGATGGTGCAGGCGGTTCGGCTGGCAGCGGCGGGGCTCTCCGGGGACCCTGAAAACAATGACTCCAGCAGCAACGAGCTCGTCAAGGCAATATCGCGCTCTGGAAAGTGAGCCACCGGTGGTACTGGCTGCCTAGCCTGCAGGGATTAAGACGTTTGTTTACCTTCGCAAATGCTCGTACAGTGGTATTGGTCCGCGATGTCGCGGGGGTCGTGGGGCTGTTTTTGTTTGTATACATTAATGGCCGCAACCAAGAGTTGTCGCTGGCAGACCAATTCGGGATTCCTCACGAACACCCTGTGTACGTCGGCATTGATTCTCTTCATTGGTGGTACACAATTGTTACGGTGTTTGCAATGTTGCCGAGACGGGGTTTTCTCGCGTGACCCATGGTTGCCACGGCGGCGTTGGCTGGGATTTCGACCTAAACTCGTCGGCGATGGCGTGTTTTAACCTCGACCCCATCGTTGCTTGGACGGGCAGGGCGTCCGAGACGCTGGATGGGCCGCTCAAGTACTCTCTGGCGATCGTGCTCATCACTGTCGTGGAGTGGCGGACTTCTGTGGTTGGGCTTATCGCCATGATGCAGGTACATATGCGTCAGCAGAATGTATATGCATGTGGTGCTGCTTCCTGAATATGAGAGAGGCCGCCGCGTTGTGACCCTTGCTCCACGGCGCGGCCTCGCGGCCGTGTTACCGAGAAGTCCGGATGACGGCCCCCTGTTTTGTGAGACGCGGCCATGTCCAACGGTAACACGACGGGCTGACGGGATTCGGGTACCGCATAGACACATTGCCGACTGGTAACCCCAATCTGTCCCCGCAAGCACAATTTTCAGCTGAGTGCCTCCCCTACTCGCACGCTCGGTGTTTGATGCGTATTGTTCAAGATGGCGGTCGGCGATGGGATGGCGGACTTGGTTGGGCGGCAGTTGGGGAAGCACAAGTGGCGAAAGGGGGGCGAGAAGAGCGTGGAGGGCTCGGCCGCTTTCGTCTCGGGATCGTTCCTAGCGTCCGTGGCCATGATACAGTGGTTCCGCCACTTCGGGCTGTTGTCGGTGAGTGCTTTCTTTGTTGTTGTTTCATGGTTTTTCTTTGTTTTTACTCGGGCTGTTTGTCGGTGTTTTTTTTTTGTTTTGTTTCATGGCTTGGTTGTGTTTTTGCTCGGGCTGTTTGTCGGTGAGCACTTTAACGTTGCTTCTTCATCAATTTGGTCTATCTTGTTTTTTCACGTTACATAACGTTGTGCTGCACTTGTGGCCAGAAACAAGTCGTCGGTTGATGTTTGATTCCTTGCAGCCATCTGTTTCGAAGCGTTGGGGCTACTGCTGTAGTGCATGGTTTTTTCGTGTGTTGTTGTTGCCCGAATCGAGAGTCGATGGACGACTCCGTTATTTGTGAAACATCAAAGTTCATGTTTTTCCCCGTTTGAAACAAAAAGCAGCAACGGATTTCGAGTAGCGGTGGGGGATTCCCAGCGTGCACTTTGATAACGACGGGTGTAGAGCATCAACAGGAGAGACAGCGGGCGGATTTCTCTCTCAAGGACCCGCGTGCACATGGTCTCAATCTGATCTTCNCCCCCCCCCCCCCTCGGCAGGAAAATACGTTAGCTATGCTGGGGCGTTGGGGTGAAACGGCGGTGAAGTGATATCGAGACAGGGTAGGGAAAATACTTTTGAGCCACCCTTGGCAAAGTAGGAAGGAACGACGGGCCGTCGGTGATCGGTTCTGTGGGAACAGTTCTCAGTCCTCTCGAGGACGCGTGGCCAATGGACTTACCGCTAAGGCATGCAACACACAAGAGTACGCCCCCCTCAAGGACACGTGGTCGATGGCCCAACAGCTAAGGCATGCAAAGCATGAGTATGCCCCCGCGCTGCCCCCGCCCCCCCTCCCTCATCCCTACAACCTTTACCTCTAGGTTACGCCGACGGAGGCGGCGGCGAGAGCGGCGGCGATATCGTTCGCCAGCGCGGCCGTGGAGCTGTTTCCGCCACGGTTGGTAGGGGACGACAACATTAGC